TCCCGTACTGGACCCTATACTAATATACAATATGGGAGTAGGCCAGGGTGGTCCCACCTAGGTCTCCATAAGGACCTAGGTGCCTGGCGAGGTAGGTTCACAGCTTAAAGAGGGTAGGCACCCCATACCACTAACAGTGTTGTATCAATGGGCTTCCTTTGTCACGGACACTAGAAGCAATATCAAACGGCCTATTAGGAGGGAACTGGTGGGAGACAAGGTTGGGGAGCAACCTAAAGGCAACATGGCAAATTGGTCATGTTGTGCCTGCTACCTGCTCCATAGTATCGTAACCCATAGCCTGTCCCACCTATGCATCCGCAGCATCTATACTCAAGGTTGCCAGAAGTTGTGCAATGCAATAGACTGGCAAGCTATAATATTGATGTGTTTTGGTGTGTTCTGGTGCATGTTGGTATATCTTGGTGTATGTTGCTATGTGTTGGTATATGTTGGTGTGTGTTCGTGTATGCTACAACTACTACAACTATTGTTGTTTAAGAATTAATTAATCTGCATTGTGCATGTGTTCTTACAATGGCAAGTTCTCCTCGCTGGTCAAACACATGCGTGCCAGCACGAAAACCGCTACTGAGTTGCGCAAGTTGCAAGTGGAAATAATAAGGGAGGATATTAATGTAGTTTTTAGTGATGATGAGGGGTGTCTACATCAGACATGTCCTTTGATGGGTCGGATGAAGATAACAGGATACCCAAGTTGCGAAGGGTACTCTAGCTAGTCAGGTCTATTGGAACTCAATGGAATAGTACTTTTGTTATTGCAAATGGTTGTGCGTCTGAGGAAGACCATTGGCAGATGGTTTGGGCTACAGCTTGAATATAAGGATCCCATTGAGATCACCCATCGGGCGTACCTAAAGGCTCTTCTCCCAAATTTGGCATTTGTGAAAAGGTGCAGCAAGAGGCTTGAGGCAGAGGCATACCCAACAGGCTCCAAAGCTCTGAGCAAGTTATTAGACCTCTGGGATTTTCTTTGCAACACAAGCAATGTGGACAACAAGGGACCATACAGTGGGTTGGTGCCATTCTGCAGTGATATATGCCACAAGCTAGAAAAGGGGCTTAGCGACCCCACATGGGCCTGGCAGATGACCTTTTCAGCTATGATTGTACTGGTGAGTGGTAATCGCTAATTACTCAGTGATGGTGTTGTTGGTATTGTGCATTGTTTGTTATCATATTGTTATTCGTATAATCGAATATATATGAAATGTCAGAAGCAATATTGATGGGTTGCATGGTGTGTGTGCAGTATATGCTTGGAAGACAACCCTTGGTATTTGTAAGGGAGATTTACACTACATTGCATATTATGAACTAGTTGGGAATATTGTACAATAGAAACACTCGTTTGGGGAAAAGCGTAGTGCATTGTATAATAAGAGCCTTCATGGGAATGGTGTATAATAGAGAAATTGAGGTCAGTAGTACTGACTCAGTACTTGAGAGGGGGTAGTGTCTATTAGAAGCGGCAACTTGGGTATTTTCTAATACCATAGACAAAGGGAAAGATACTGGGGAGAAAGCACCACGTTGGTCAACATGGTAAGGGACAGGCCTCGGGACCAACGGGCCGGTGGAACGGAAGAACAAGGGATGGGCGAGTTTGAATTGAAACCTGGCAAGTATGCCAGAATTAGGGTGACTCACCCTATTTCTGGCATAACCCTTGGGATCCCTTGGGGGCGGGTATAGATACAGACACTTCTGATCCATTTGTAATCAAAGTTGCTGCCTTGTTTCGACTCGACCGGTCCCCGACTCGAACGGAGAGAACGGGCCATTTCCCATCCGGCCAAAAAGGGGTTCCACCCCTTACAGTATCTATATAAACATACTAGATCCCATCAAGGAGAAGCTCGTATTGGTGGATGCCATGATTGAGGATATGTCAACTGAATTGTTGGAGTTGCGCCTTCAATTCATGAAGAATATTGGGTAGTCAAAGGCGTTGGGGCAAGCAGGCCTGCCCACCCATCCTAAATAGTGGACCATGCAGAAGAAGAGGGAGAAGCGCACAGGACACAAGACGTCTGGTGTGACGTAGTTACTTGGGGTTAGACAGGCATCGACATTTTCTGGGGCGATGATTATATAATTTAGGATATCGACGATTTTATTTAGAGCTTCTTGGTTCCAACGCGCCTTTAATCGCCCAATTCTGTTAAGAAACGGCGAAAATATGGCCTCTTGAAGTTACTGTACTTAGGGCCAGGGGGTCGGGTGTTAGATGCTTGGAATTAAAGGACAATGGGTCGATCGCAGGTAAACGGTGGGCAGTGACGATGTGCCTGGACGTGCACTTAACTTGTCTTGATGTGATAGCGATGGACCCGTGATTGGGCATCGTGTATGCAGATTTGTGCGCGTGCATGTTGTGCATCCATGTAACCGTTTTGGCCCACTCTCTAGCCTCCCGCGAGCCAGCGAACCACCACCTCGCTGCGCCGCCACCTCTCGCCGACAGCAAGCCCCGGGGATCGATCCCCATCGAGCATTGGGCCCACCGCGCGACCACAAGAATACCTGCCCCGGATACGCCCACCGTCCCATGTGGAGAGGGCCGGCTAACCTCCAACAACCGAGCCACGGGGCAGGGCAACCCCCACGCCTTCGGAAACCAGTAGCTGCCGACAGGGCCACAATATCTAGCACCAACTCTGAGGAGGACAATAATGCAAGGCGGGGCCTGTGCCCAAGGGCAACCGGTGCCGCGGGGCCTAGCCAATATGCAGGCACTGCGGCGGGTGGCGAACTGGCGGATGTCACAAAGCGGTTGATCGCACGACACGCTCAAGAGTTCTTAACGGAAAGTTGGTGTATAAGTGAGCCGGGTGCCCCACGAGAGTAGGGTGCACTAGAATATTGGGCACGGAACAGTGCTCAATAACCCATAGTGGTGTGGGTGGCCCAACACTCATTGTGCGTGCTGGGTGTAAGTAGCATATCAGAACATGGCTTCTCAGTAACCGGCCATATTGTGCGATCTTGGTGGGTATCTTTAGGGGACGAACACATTGAGCAACTTACGCTCTTGTCTAGCGACACCAACTTATAATTTTTTAGAGTGCCTTCGGCTTGTCTTGGATTGGACTACGGGCATATGCGTGACTTGTCTTAGTTTTGGCTATGTGTCCAACATATACATTAAAAAATGTGTATATTGCATTTGTTGCAAACCGGGTTTTCTGTGCAAATTGTATGTTCTAGACCTGAATCCGGCCTTATGAATACCTCCCAAATATGCACTAGTCCGCCAGTCCCCCCCTTTTGACTTGTAAGGGTTCCAATTCGCATGGTCCATTCCTGGGGAACGGACTGGAGGGGACTGGAATGGACAAAGATGGGGCCATTCCCTACTAGGAACGGGTCTATCCTTAACCAAGAACAGATCCTTTTTTAAGTGGAAATAAATCCATTCCAATACCATTTTAGTCTAGCCCAAATTGGGTCCAAATTTATTCCTTAGGAATAGCATAGGAACGGATTGGAATAGACTGGGACGGACTGGGATGGGAACAGGAATGGGTCCGTTCTTGGGATGGGAATGGACACTATCCCCGTTCCCATTCCAACTCCATCTGGCCAGGCCCACCTCTGGCCATGGAGCTATCGTCAATGGCATGGCATCGGTAGTGCATGGTCACCTATGGACCATAGAAAATGAGGTCAGCCATATGCGCAGTCGAACGCAACATAGCACAACATAGTTCAGCACAGCACAACACAGTATAGCATGGCACAGGTGGTATTGCGCGGGTGCATTCAATGCGTGCAACACATATCGATTCAAACGGAATGCAAGTAAACTGCAAATAGGCACACAAGAAACACAAGCAAGGTGTAGCCTACTGGAAAGCACAACAGCACAGCGAGAGCGTTGCGCAACATGGCCTGTGCTATGCGGGTGCGACTACATAGGTAGATTCAGTGCGCCAGCATGCACGCTCCTATTCCAGCAACCCACAGCATGGGCAAGTATTCCAACACAGTGCAACTAGATAACAAGTGTGCAGGAAACTTGGGCAAGCCGAAGCCCACTAGAAAGCACAACAACACAACAACAACGTGGTGCAACACGGCCCATGTTGCACGGGTGCGACTGCACGGTCAGATTCAGTGCGTCAGCATGCACGCTCGTATTTCAATGACCCGTGGCATAGGCAAGCATTCCAATGGAGCGCAATCAAACAGCAAACAGGCGTACAAGAAATGTGGGCAATGCGCAGCCTACCAAAAGCACAACAACACAACAGCAGCACCCCACAGCACTGCCCGTGTTGCATGGGTGTCATTGCGGGTGGGTTCAATGCGTCAACACGCACGCTTGCATTCCATAATCTTGCATCATAAGCAGGCATAGGGCAAGTGCTCATATCCGTTGGTCATGGATGGTGTCTTCCGCGTTTTGTGTCGTTGGCACAGGTTGGAGGGGCAACAGACAACCGACATGTATTTGGGGTTGGGGGCGCATTGCGTGATTTGCCATAAGTTGGGCCGGTCATGCAGGACCCGGCATCATTTCGGGACCATTCGTCATGAGGGTGGCCGCAAGACACCCTGCTTAAGGCTGGTTGCGCGCACGGCGGACGGAGCGGTGGGACGGCGTTGCAACAAACAACTGCGTGCAAAATTCACGGCGCGCGAAAGGGCCGGGCAGGCGCACGGGCGGACAACAACATCACCCGCGCACCAAGTTGTTTTCTCTGCCACATCAGCGCGTGCGCCTGGCGCGGTATTCGGCGCAGTAGTGGCGCGGGGTTGCCGTGCGCAAATACCTCGGAGGGCGGTCGGGTTAAAATCGTTTGTTTCGTTTTCTTCAATGTGTGCCATGGGGCGTATGCGACGGGCCGTATTTAGGACATCGGCATACCGTAGTCCGCCAGATCCCGCCCGCCCCAGGCACCGCCGTCCCGGACAGGCGCCACACCCCAGCGTTGGGCAGGTGCAGGCGTGGCGTGTGCCCCGCGGCGGCCGCGATGAAGTCCTCGGGGGAGAGCCGCCTGGAGAAGCTGCTCGCTCTGCTGGAAAGTGCGCGACTCCACACACACACGTGCGCGTGCGCCGCGCGCGCACCCGATCAGGTTCCCATCCTCGGCCTTTGGTGGGGCGTGTTTCTGGTGGCGGTCGGCAGCGCGCGCAGAACTCTCTCCGACCGCCCCGGGAGCCTGGCGCGGCTCTGGAGGTGAATTGGGCGCCGCGCTGCGCTGCAGATGGGACCAGCGAAGCGACGCGGAAGGCGGCGGGCAAGCACATCAGCGACATCGCCGCCGCGCACCCGACGCAGCTGGCATCCGTCCTGTGCAAGGTGGGGCCTTGAAATCAACGATCAGACGCTGTTGCCTGCCGTTCGCGTTGCCGCCGATCCCTGTAAGCCACGCTCTCTAGATGAGGGTGTCCAAATGATGGAGACCCCCAGCAGGCCAGCATCCTCGTCGTGAAGAAGAGGAGCGCAGGCTGCACGCGAACGCGTCGAAATGCAGCTTCCTGAAATCATTGCCGCCTGATTCCGTGTCTGGATCGCCCAAGGACAGGCCCCTCACTGTGTTCACCGTTGCGCGTTTGTCTTCCTCCCCTCAGAGAATTCGAGATGGCCTCCCGCTGTGGACGCGAGACCCAGGCGCTTCCTGCCTAGTCGCCTCCAGGACCGGCCCACCCGTTGCGCTAACTTCTTTCTCCTCGTTGCGACGATCTCCGCCCAGGTGCAGCCCTACCTTTACAACAAGAAGTGGGAGTGCAGGGTGGCTGCGGGCGAGGCGATCGGCCACATCGCGGAGCACTTCGCGCACCACAGCGCAACGGACATCAAGGCCAAGTTCCAGGGGCTGGGGGACGCACGCCAGGGCGCGCCCACCTTCCGCCTGCACCAGTTTCACATCGACGGGATTCTGGAGTCTGGGGCGCCGCTGCTGTCTTCAGGCGGACAGGTACCAGGCAGCCACACCGGTCATCCCACCGTGGGCAATATCCGTTGCTTGCCCATGTCAAGGGCACGTGAAAAACAGAGCCTCTTGCACCTCAGAGGCGGTGAAGGCCACAGGGGCATCCAGCTCAAGTTTGGCCCCAGCGTCAACCATCGCTAACAACACCAGCTACCTGCTGTTCGAAATCAAAAATAACAACTGCGTGGCCTCGACTTTGATAGCTGGTGCGAATGTTCCCTGTGAGGACACTTTGTAAAGGCTGGGGATGGGGGCCACAGACGGCTGAGGTTGTTGTGGCTGACAGGAGTATGATCAAGCAGACAGCAGCTTGAAGGGGAAAGACTGCCTGGCCCGAGAGAAGAGCAAAATCGAGGAGAGCATAGGTGTGCCCCTTGCCTGCCAATGGTATCGACTTAGAAGCTTTGCTGCTTCTTGACAGTGATGAAGGGTTGCCCTCAGAGACCAGTAAGATGGTCCAAAAGTACAACCACGGAAAGTCACTTGGGGTAGGGGGGGGAGGGGTCCTGGGAAGACACTGGTTCGGTCACTCCCTTTGGTGCACAAATGTCATGTCTGTGTTCCTGTCGGTCATCTTTACACCGCCAACCTGTGTGCGACCATGAGGAAAGGGAAAGCAGATGCAATCTGTGCAAACAAGATACTGCCTTCCGGCTGCAAGACATATGTGTGTGGATCGAGCATGTGGCCGTCAACTTTGCCTCAGATGACAACTGATACAGATAGGTCCCGCACCACTCAGCATGGGCTCCATATGTGCCATCAGGTGTCAATCAGATGTTCATGACCAGTTCTTTGGAACTGAAGGACATCGTTGCAGATGCCGACCTGCTGGAGACCTCAGCAAGCATTCCACAGACAAGTCAGCGCTCCCCATTGGAGCTGCTGGTGACCGAATCAACACTCAGCGCCAGAGAGAAGAACCGGTTGAAGCGGAAGGCCAGAAGCCTTGCAAGACCAGATTCGTTGAAGAAGAGGGTGGGTGCGTGCTCCAGTGCCGAGGCTGGCAGCACAGTCTGAGCACTTGTTGTATTTTGCTGTCCCAGACCTGACATTATAGTAATGTATGTGGCCTTCATGGCCATCCTAGCACATGGAGTTGACTTTGCACGGCAGCTGTGTATGGCATCTGGGGGCGCCCACCAACACATCTGTAGGCCTGTGCGCTGGAAGCTTGGCATAGAGGTGCTTGGTGTAGTATTGCGCTGCCATCGTGCCCCACTGCAGACGACTTAATATTGGTGTTGTAGGCTCCTTGCTACAAATGCAAAGTAATCCATTGGCACATTAATTTGGGTGAGACTGCTGGGTGAACTAACTACTAAGCCAACTGATTGCCTTGTGGCTTTCGACAAGGAGTTTGCAGTATCACCGGATGCTGTGGATACTACCACTGTCAGTATGCTGTTGGATTTATGGGTGTTCTGGGCTTTTGTGCAGCACACAGTCTTGCAGGATTGAGGCCCACAGCGATCGCATGCACATCAGGGGCGTTCTATGGGGTGCAATATATTCCATATTCGTTTGGACACGTGCAAGCAAATGTCTTTCTCGTGTGCCACTTGTATGTCAGTTTGCAGCTACAGATGCACTTGACTGCATTTGGTTGGTTGCATTTTGTGAACTACTAGTCAATAAGATTTGACGATGTGTAGAAAGACGCTTGCAGGCTGATCATTGTTGTCCTCATAAGAGAAAATTACTGTGAGCCACAAAGCTGTGTAGGTAATTGCTTGTGTCCATCATTTAGTCCCCTTGTGTGTTCCATGTGAGCCTTGATCTGGCATCTTTGGCTATGGTATCCAGAAAGTAAGAGGTGAGGTTTTTGTTTTATTGCAGTTTGTTGTTTGCTGTCGTTTGCTATGTTCGCCACACCTGGTCAAACCTGGTAAAAAACACCTGGTCACACCTGGTCAAAACACTGGTCTATACCTCACCACCACTCCGGATTCCAATGCACTCTTTTTGGCTTTGTAAACCAGTGGCGTTCATAGATATTCCTCAGGAGCACATGCGATTGTGCATTCCCCTGCAGCAACAGTGGCCTAATTCTGAGTGCCTGAGAAACAGCCTGAGAAACAGGCTGTTTCACAGATGCTAGAGCTCGATCTGGATTCCAAAGAAAGTCTACAGAGGTCCTCAAGCGCATTTTCCGATGCCCCAACAGAGGATGACCAGGAGGTAGGTCATTTTCGAACTGGAGTATCGGTTGAACGTCCACCAGTACACATATCTTGGTGCCGCCAGCAGTACCAATGTTTACAGTGCTGGACAATTATGTTGGCTTACGCATGCAGCGCACAGTTCTTTTATTCACTTGGTATTTCATTAAGGTAAAGTACCACTAGTCTTTGTCGTGCTGCTTAAGTCGATGAGAGGTGTTGCTGTGCATCCGACCTGTCACCCACACAATTGTGGCCAGAAACGGCTGGCATCCACTTTGTTCGTAGTCGTGGTAGTGGGACTACAAGTGAACCTGGCCACTGCACAGATCACACACGTTGCAGAATTCTCCAAGACTTTTGCCTCCAGTTGAAGGAATGCAATGGTTGGAAGCACTTTGAGTTTGTTGTTGGTAAGCAATAGCATCCGCCATTGCACACAGACAGTGCAATTAGTTGCCTGTATGCTGATGGTTATACAAAATAGAAATGAAGGTGCCTATGTAGAACCGTTCTGCTGCATTTTGTGTCCAAGCTACTTTCATTCGTTGTCAAGGTGCAGTGTCCTTTCACTGGCCATGGAGGTTAGACCAAGAAGTCCACAAGGGTTGCAAACTTCTCTGCCCAGCTGCCAAACCTGATCAGCGCTGGCTGGTGTTGGGTGCTTGACAAATACAATGGGCAACACATGCACACCCGAGCAAGCGTAGGCAACATTGAATCAGAGTGTTTGCCCGAGCAAGCATTGGCAATGTTGAATCAGAGTGTTTACCCAGTGTGTGCTGCATGGCAGAGAAGTGGAGTATGTATGTGGCCATTCAAGAAGCTGTGTGACCAGTTTTGTGCCGATGTCCTTGATCCATCGTGGGAAGTTCGCCATGGGGCAGCATTGGGTCTGCGTGAAGTCTTGCGATCTCATGCCGGCTCTGCAGCTGTGGACATCCCGCTGGTGCAGGGCTCAACCTCATGTGCTGTACCAGGCAAGGCAGGTGTGCATATTTGATAGCCAAGTGGGGCCAATCTCTGTTGGCCTTTTCGTGGTGCTGGGGTGAACATGGCATTTCCAGCCGCCATCCAGGGGTGAAATTCTGCCAAACTGACACCACCATGAAGAGCCTGCCTCTGTTGAACTGCTCAAATAGAACGATGGTGATGGGATGTTGGTGAAGATATGCAAACAGGCAACACTCTCCTTGACATGCCACCTGTGTAGCACATCTGAACCCAACAACAGCACACTGGCACCTCAGCACCTCAACGGTCATTATCGCAACTGGCACACTATTCTGGCATTGGATATTGAGAGTGGGCATGTGGGCTTGTGCAGGCGAGCATGACCTGGAGGCCCTCACTGAGGAAATGGCTTCCTCCATCCTAGATGCCAATCAATCCTGGGTTGAGGACTGTGTGCTTGTGTTGTTGTGTGTTCTACTGCTCGACAGAATGGGGGACTTTGTGTCTGACTCGGTATGTTGCAGAACCTTCACAAACCTTCGCTTTTCCACAGTGCCTGGAGGCAGGAATCCAGGCTTGCTGCCCAGTACTGTGCATTATTGGCAAGCATTTGTTGCTCAACCAATCAATCGCTTATGATCCATTTCGATTCGTGCTACATCTGCAAAGGTCCTGGTGCCTTGTATTCATTCGAATGTGACGAATGGTAATCCAACGTTCACATATGTCCCTGTCCTAAGCAAGTGCCTGTGTGTACACAAGATTTCCTAGCCTCTGGAAAATGGTGGGGGATGACATCCATGCCACCAAAGCCCTGGCAGTATCCTTTCCAAAGGCTTTGTCAAGCCATAAAAAGGCAATGCCAAGAAACTTGAAGCATTGTCTGATTGCCAACAACAGACCTCAGTTTTATTCTCAATTCTACAAACAACCCCAATAGAAGGCATCATTGTAGATGGCTGTTAAGTTTTTCTCACATATATCTGCCATGATTGTGTTGGTGTCAAGTGTGACGAAATGTACCCAGAACAGCATCAGGACAACAACACTGCCAAGCCAATTCCAAACCATGTTCACAGGCTAGTGCCACTTGTAGGGAAACCGAGTGGTTTATTGGAAGATCGGCTGCAGAAAATGAATGCGCACCTTGCACTTCTGTAGCTGGGTATCAAACTTCCAGATGACCCCTGTGCAATCACACGAAATTTACGAATCAGCTGGATTTGAGGCAGATCAATCCTGCTCTTTCTTATGGCTGGCCCTTGCTCACATTTGCCAATGATTTTCTTTGGTTACCTTTGCGAACTATTGGAAAAAAAATCCCAGGGACCCACAGGGTGATTGATGAGTGTCAATGCTTTCCATCACCAGCGCTTTGCCCCAGATGCATGTGTGATGCAGATAAGGGAAGATAGAAGACATGCTTATGTGTGTTTCGCCAGATGGTGGCCCCCGTTAGGGAGACGGCAGCCCAGGCTGTTGGCACTGCCCTGCAGCCACTTCCAGTGTCTGGCGTGAAGGAGGTGCTGCGGTTGCTGCAAGACATGGTGAACGCATCATCCTGGGAGGTTCGCCATGGAGGTCTGCTGGGGCTGAAGTACCTGCTGGTTGTGCGCAACGATGTGTTGGCGGACACCATCCCGGTTGCTGTGTCTGCTGTGCTGAAGGGTCTGGGGGACACATACGACGACGTCCGTGCAGCAGCGGCTGACGTGCTGGTGGCTGTGGCAGAAGACTTAACCACTCAGGTCCCACAGGTGAGTGCTGCGTCGGCTACCATAGTGTTGTCCTCTGCCGTATGGGGGCACTTCGTCTGTCCTACAGCTACCTAGCTCGCGTTTGGTGTGGGATTGACACAAGCAGGTGAAGAGATGAAGCTGTGGAACATGCACTGTCAGAAGCAGACAGCCCAGTTGCCAGTGCTCAGCAGCTTCTCCAGTCCATTTCAAGTGCCTTGCATGTCTCTTTTTGGTTGCCATTATCTGCAATGGAGAGAAACACAGAGTGCCCTTCTTGTTGACCAGGCTGCAAAGGATGGCGTCCCTGCTGAGCAGTCACAGACACTTGTGGTGCAGTTGATTATGAGGGGCCCTTTCAGTATCAAAGCCTGCACAAATGTAGAGTACAGGCCATATTCGCCTGTGCTTGTTGTATGGAGGTGTGCAGTGGCAGTGCTTTTGTCCTCAAGTGCGTGAGTTCCATGTCACTGACTTTTGTGCCCTTTCTCTCTGGAGGTTGTGGATTCCCTGCGGCACACACTGTGGGAGATTCTCCTAGACATGGACGACCTCAGCTCTGCAACAGCCAGTGTCATGCAGCTTCTGTGGCAGTTGTACTCCCAGCCAGGTACCTTCCAGCCCAGCAAGGACCTGAGCAGTCTTGTACCCCGGCTGTGGCCGTTCTTCAGGCACAGCCTGTCTTCAGTTCGCCTTGCTGTGGTCCAGTGCTGTGAACAGCTCATCCGATGCAGTCCCCAGCAGGATTCCTGGCTGGAGCCCCTCTTTGGGGACATGCTGACGCTCACCTTTTGCAATCTGCTGCTTGAGACACATGAAAACGTGCTGAATAGCAGCGACCGCGTATGGCAGCTGCTGATGCAGCAAATGAGGGGAGCGCTCTTGCGTTCGTCGCTGCCCGCATCTGTGATCGGGGTCTATTTTAGACTGGCGTCAACCCCCCTTGGCCATGGGTATGACGAGTGCCTGATGCACCAGATGCTTGATCATGTGGGCAATGAGGGAAGATCGGTAGATCCAGGGGATGATGATGAGGATTTGCAGCCGCTGAAGAGGGCGCGGGTGGAGGCATTCGATGGGCAGATCAAGGAGGCCCAGCAGCACGTGCTTGGTTCACAGTGGTCAGGGAATGCAACGCAAATGAGGCTTGCCACGGCACGTGCCTTGGGCCACCTGACTGTCATGGCCAGCGAGCCTTGCATGGGGGAAGTGTTGCGATGTCTGGACAGCCCCAGTGCGACTGCAAGGATGATGGGAGGCCTGGTGGTGTGGCACTGGGTACAAGTTATCAAGGAGGGCCACAGAACTGATATGAACTCTTCTGAAAGCATGAATCAGGCCCCTTCAAACATCCCGCAGGCAGTGATTTCTAGGCTTTACGGACTGTTGTCTGGGCTGACAGCTTCTGCCCCTGTCCATGGCACTGAACCTTACTTGGAAGTGCAGGGATACTACACAAAGCTCCGAGGGGAGCTTGGGGCCCTTCTCACCCAGTGTGACCAATATGGGGTCTCGGTACCCTGGCAGCTCACTTCGCCAATCGAGAGCGCCCCTTTGGGTCCAATCGTTGAATTGACACAGTCCATACAGTGTGACTCTTCTGTCCCTGGCATCCCTAGCATGCAGCAGCAGATATATGCCAGCGCAAACACTGTGATGATGGCTCAGGAATCGCTGCACATGGCAACGACGGCCTGTGTGGCGGCAGCTGCGATTCGTTGCGGCTCCCTCCCTGCGAAACTGAACTGTATTATCCAGCCCCTCATGGGTGCCATACGGAAGGAGCCTGATGCACTGCTGCAGAAACTCTTTGCAGAGGCACTGGCAGAGTTGATTATAGTGTGCACAAAGAGGAAGCCCTCCCCAGCAAAGATTCTTCGAAATGTTTGCACGTTGGCATGCGGGGACCCAATGGAGGTCCCCAGTGTGTCGATGGATGAAAATGACCAGGCGGACAAGCCATGCACCAGTGAGGAGGTGTTGAGGGGAGTGCTGAGCATCGAACCTGGAGTAGATCAGAACTCGGCTGCCATTCAGGGCGCCCGGAATGCCCGACATGGGGCCGAGGCCGTCCTGGTGGCTCTGGCAAAGTTGTTGAAAGAGGACCTCTTTCGGTCGCTCCCCCAGCTGTGGGAGCACATGACAGCAGGGCTGATGGGCGCATTGGGCGATGGCCCCAGGGACCAGGAGGTGGACGCCCAAGGAGTTGTCCATTGTTTGCAGATTTTGAAAGTGCTGGGCTCTGTGGCGGCACCCGAACTGCTGCCCCAGCTTGACGCAGTGCTGCGTGCTTCAATTCAGTGCTGCCAACATGAACAGCGAGCAGTGAGGCTGGCATCAGCGAGGTGCTCTGCAGTATTGGCTGGTGCCCACACGACGCATATGATGCCACTCCTTCTGGATCAGGTTTGTTGGTGGGTTCTGATCGCTAAATGTTGAGACTGCACAAAGCACGATTGTCTTTGTCTGTTTGCTTGTGTCACTATTGGTGCATATGGTACAAAAGTGTCTTGCTGCTGTGTGACTTACTGTCAACCCATCTCAGGCACTGCCCAAGGGCTCCTGCCCCAAGCAGAGCCAATGGTAAGGCCCTTGTTCAATGTAGTCAGGTTACTATGAACAAAGCAATTGCACATCCAGGGACTGCTGTATTCCCAAATTGCAAATTGACACCAGAATATTCCCCCAAACCTGTGCCTGTGTCTCCATATATCAGTAATGCAATTCTTGTGCACCAGGTTATACCCCTGCTCGGCAAAATGTCCTGTGATCGTGCAAGGGAGGGGGCAGTTGTGGTGGTCTACCATCTTGTGAAGGATCTGGGGCCCAAACTCGCAGCCTACTCAGTGCTGTTGGTGGTGCCGCTCATGGGACGCATGTGTGACGCCGTTGAGAACGTACGGCTTGTGGCGACGACCTGCTTTGGTTCCTTGGTGGGCCTCCTTCCATTGGGCCAGGGCATGGACCCACCCCCAGGGTTGAGCGATGCCCAGCGCAAGGCCTGCATTAAGGACAAGACGTTCCTTGCACAGCTGCTGGACAACAAGAAGGTGGACGACTATGTGCTACCCTTGAAGATCAATGCTGAGCTGCGGCACTACCAGCAGGAGGGCATTAACTGGCTGTCCTTCTTGCGCAAGTTTGGGCTGCATGGCGTGCTGGCAGATGACATGGGCCTGGGGAAAACCCTGCAGGCTGCAGCTTCTGTTGCAGCTTCGGTAGTGGAAGACGAATCAAACGGGGATGGGGAGGCCTGCCAACTGCCATCCCTGGTCGTGTGCCCAGCCACGCTGGTGCCGCACTGGGGTCATGAGATTGACCGATTTGTGGGGGGCGATGTGCTTCGAGCGCTACAGTACATGGGGACGCCCTCAGATAGGTGCATGCTTCAGTCTCAGCTCCCACACTACAACGTCTTGATCATGTCTTATGAGGCACTGCGGGCGGATGTGCAATGGGTGTCCAGCATACGCTGGAACTACTGTGTGCTGGATGAGGGACATCTCATCAAGAATCCCAACACAAAGGTGGCCATCGCATGCAAGCAGGTGCTGGCCAAGAACAGGTTAATTTTGAGCGGGACGCCCATCCAGAACAACGTTCTTGAACTCTGGTCCTTGTTTGACTTCCTGATGCCTGGCTTCCTTGGAGCAAAGAGGGAATTCACTTCAAAATACGGCCGGGCTGTCCAAGCTGCCAGGTGGGCACCGGCTGGAGTCACAGACGTCTGTGAATCTGCTATGTGCATTTTCATGACTTTGAGGGTAGGGAATAATGGGAGGACCTGAGAAGGGCTTGTTGGTGCGGACGCACATAATGATGAACCAATGGATAATGATGTTGCTTCTGGAAGTTTCGTTTATGGCACCTTTCCGGTTTCTTTTGCTGAGACCCTTCTGGCCCTGTAAACCAGCTCCACATCCTATGGAGTCAGAAAGGATGGAGACAGAAATGCTGTTGCAGTTAATTCTCATAACTTCAACAGATGATGCCATGTGAAGTTTGGGGGTTGTTCCTAGCTGAATTTGTCTTGCTGCTGCCAGTTCTGTCCTACATTAGACACCAACACCGATCTTCATGAGAGCATCGAGCATGATCCACTTGCATCAGTGCACCATTCTCCGGAATGGTGCCATACAGTGCCACTTTCCAGGCGACTGTACTTGTTGCCTTGTGGTGCAGTCCATCTGGCACTCACAAGCTGGCCTGCCAGGTCCGCTGCACACTGAAGGGCCCAGCAAAAACCAACCTCGTCTGATCTGCCACCTGTGATGGATGGATGGATACGCGTCTTTGGAGATTGTCTTGCATAGTCTCTCCAATGTCCTGACCCTGCGCGATATGACTCTGGGTATGACTATTGTCGATGGATGACTCTCAGGTACTCGAAGAAGGGCTCAGTAGAGGCGGATGCCGGTCTCCTGGCCTTGGATAGCCTGCATAAGCAGGTTATGCCCTTCATCCTGAGGCGGACCAAGGACGAAGTGCTGGCTGACTTGCCCCCGAAGATTATACAGGACATATACTGCGACTTGTCTCCTCTCCAACGCCGCCTTTATGAGGACTTCTCGCGGTCGCAGGCAAGATTCCTTGGCGGTGATGTGCACTGCATCGCGCTCCCTGCAATCCTCTGCGATCGATGCTCGCTCCTCCGTCCTCAGTGTCTGTGTCTTTCTTGCATTGGTAGAGAAAAACGTCGCACGTGCCTGCTGGGAGGGACTGTCTCGTGACCTGCCTCGTCCCATAGACCTTTACACTGGCTCGCTCTGAAGATGCTTTGATGCTCTCGTTCATTGACGAGCGAACCGAAATATCAATTACGGGCAATGTGTTGACAAGCCGTCGATACCTTGAGCGGCAACTGTTTCTAGACGCCCAAGAGAAGGGGCCTGCTCACTGTCGTGTGCCCGCCTGCCCGCCAGGCATCCGAGGAGCTGGACGCGGCGATCAAGAGCGGCGCCGGCCAGGGCGACAGGGCCCACATGTTCCAGTCCCTACAGTACCTGCGCCGTCTGTGCGACCATCCCCTCCTGGCACTGGACTGGTCCCTCCCCGAGCACCGCGACGCTGTGCGTGACGTCCTGGACGCGGACCTTGCCGACTGGCAGGCCGCGGAGGAGCGCCTGCACGCGGTCGCCGAGGCGCCGAAGCTCGCGGCCCTGCGGGAACTCCTGGCGCAGTGCGGCATCCAGGGCTCCCCGGGCGCACAGGACCGCGGGCCGACGAACGGATCCCTGGACGTCGACTGCGTGGACGACGCCACGCCGATTCATCGCATGCTGGTCTTCGCGCAGCTGATTCAAATGCTGGACGTGGTCGAGCGGGACGTGCTGCAGGCGGGCGGTGTTGCCTACCTGAGGCTGGACGGGCGCATGTCGCCGACGCAGAGGATGCACGTGGTGCGGCGGTTCAACACGGACCCCACGATCGGCGTGCTGCTGCTGACGACCAAGGTGGGCGGCCTGGGGCTCAACCTGACGGCCGCCGACACGGTGGTGTTCCTGGAGCATGACTGGAACCCGATGAACGACCTGCAGGCGATGGACCGCGCGCACAGGCTGGGCCAGCGCCGCACGGTGAACGTGTACAGGATCCTGACGCGGGGCACTCTGGAGGGGAAGATCATGGGCCTGCAGCAGTTTAAGTTGAGCGTGGCCAACGCTGTGGTCACGCATGACAACACCAGCTTGGCGACCATGGACACGGGCAAACTGCTGGACCTGTTTTCGTACACGCCGGACGGCGGGGGGCCCAGGCGAGGGCCAGGGGGATCGGTCGATGGCCAGGGGGGCGGCGCGAGGTCCAGGCCTCAGGGACCCGTCGTGGAGGGCTTCAAGGAACTGTGGGACGAGCGGCAGTATGCGGAGGAGTTCGACCTGTCCAGCTTCGTGGGGAAGCTTGCTAGAAGGGAGTGAGGAAGCGCGCGGCTGGACTGGCTGAGGCGCCTGGTCCGGCCACGGGAGGGTGCGCCCTTGGGTGCCTGGGTTCTGGTGCCCTTGTCCAGGGGCTCAGACCCTGAGCGCCTTTCAGGAAGAGAATTCCTATTGGAGCAGCCTTTCACGAAAAGCGGCACAAGCAAGCAGTACAAAGCTCTGAGCCTTGTACCGCTCGCGAGGTTATAGGGGTCCAAAGGCGCAGGGGCTGTGCATGGAGAGTGACGCGATCCCTGTGAGTTGTGGAGGCGGGGTGGGGGAAAGGGGACCGGAACAGGAGCGGGGCAGAGAACGGATTCGTCATTTGATTGATTGAGATTTAATGGGGGAAATTGATTCAGGTTTAGCAAGGGCATAAGTGGAGGGTGTGGCGAGGGCATTGGTAGAAGGCTCACATATCTATTTACATATATATGTAACACACGGATTTCGAGACTGGGGCCAGTGACAAACCACGTATGAAAACACCCACGATGAGATGAAGGGCACAACTTTCGCAGGGTGAGAGGCAAATCCCATGCTTCCAAACTTTTGTGCGCACAGACCAACGATAGAACTATTAGTCGAGCCACGCTCTCTGTACGGTTGTGGCATTATCTACGCATTGTCCAAGGTCAGCACGCCACCCAAGCGATGCCAAAAATCACGACGCTAAATCAGCCTGCTACCCCAAAACTGTTGTCCAGATCTGGGCTTTCCTCCTGTAGAGGAAAGCCCACAGCACAAACACTCACACACGCAGCACACAACAAGGAATAGTAATTTGAACCAATCCACGTCTGTTAAAAGCCAAGACAAGCATGCCATGCCCAGCTCTTGGTGCGTACACAAGGAAAAGTGGCGTTTGTGCTCCTCCTAACATATCTGAAGAACGGCAACATCGTTTTCCAAGCCTAAGAACTCTACGGATGGCTATCAATATGGCGGGTCAAAGTTGTTTGGATCAAAATTTTGACTCGCACGTTTTGACCTCTGTTTGCGCGATTTGGATCACTGACAAGGCTTTTGAAACAGATGCAATATGTCCAAAAATATGCAACTCCTTTCAACTTCGCAAGTTTTGAGAATATCATGGTCAACATTGTGAAAGCAAGGAGAGTTTGAATTGTCTAGAATCCAAACGTTTTGGCAATCTTCAAGGTGTGGTGAAAAACATCCATTATGTGCTGTTAGGCCTGCCTCTTCCATAGGTTGCCACCAAAAAGAAACAATAAATATTATGAGTTGGGGATGTGCTTACAAACAGAGGTGGATACACAATCGGATGTGTATGGTGACTGGTTAGTACATTTTGGATAGTGCAATTAAAATGCAACCTTATCAAGAATGACCATATGTTGTTGTTTTTAATGCCATGCCCTATCATCCACTAAACAATAGTATGATTATTGGAGTTAGCGCAAATGAAAGCCAAAAACTTGGGCGCATTTGTTGATGACCGCCGTGTCCTATGGGACTTATATGGCTTGCCCTTTGGTACATGCTCTCAACCGCACTCTATCAAAACTCGGTCAAACGCACTAGGGTGATCCCCATGCCACCCTGACCGGTACTCCACCTCACGATTTCAATGACGCATCGATCATTCGTCCTCCCATCCATCTCCTTACCAAAGCATTGGTGGCAACACACCCATCGCAGCAGATTGACCGGCGCTTGCCCCTCTCCAACTGACCTACGATCACCTCATAATACACAATTTCCTTTCACCTTCAACAGCCCTCGTGCCCCATCATGATTGGCGCTGATATGATAATGACTAGTCCATCATTGGGAGATGGCTGTATGACTATAAAGGGACATGCCTGTCCGTGACATGTCTGTAACTCTGTACCCTCAGCAGTGTCCCCAAGCCTGTGGCTGTGCCTGCCTCCGATATAGTCCCACTCCGAACCTTGCGTAACATGTGGCACCCGAGGCAGGGGTGGGATTGCAGGACTATGCAGCTGCGTGGCATGGTGTGACGCCGAGGAGCGCGCGAGCGTTGTGGCGCCTCATGCTGTGGTGCGTTGGAGTGGCGACGTGATGAATGGCGTCCAGCGATGACCATGGAGCGGTCGCGCGAGAGCTGAGGCGAGCGCAACAAAGGCGTGACTGAAGGCAGCGGACGACGCGCGGGTCAGTTCCGTCAACGCCGCGGCTGTGCGTTCGCTGGAGTTACGATGGCAGAGTTGCGATGGGGGCCAACACAGCACCGCTGAGTGGTGATGGGCGAGTGTGAGCCACGCCATTGGTCGGAAGTGGTAACTTGAGTGGATGGTTGTGTCGGAGAGATCACGTGCTAGCCACACAGCACGCACGGCCCCGCAGCAAGGACTGCGTGACAAAGTGTCAGCAGGACGGCGGCTCGTGTCAGCTCGTGCTAGCTGACAATGTGGTCCTACATGCAGACCCGTCACACTGGTACGGGGTCGAGGGTTACTGCCGTATCAAGCAAGCAAGTGGCAGGGCATGAGCGAAGCCCACGTGGCAATTCCGATGCACTGGGCATGGCATTGTCTCTGTTGTTGGGGGCGCGCACCGAGCGCCAATGGGTCAGTTTCAGGTCGAGTTGTTGAGATGCCCCGTAGAGGTGGCGAGGTTCGCCTAGACGTGTTGCTCTTGAGTTTGATGGTTTCCTTTCCGAATCTGGTTTCTTTCCATGGATTCTTGAGCAGATGCTCTGGCTCTTGATGTATTCCTTTGAGACTGGTTTGCATGTTCGTGTTCAAGGCCCCTCCTGACGGCTGGCCAAGTTTTTGATGGATTCTTGAGCTGATGCTCTAGTTCTTGATATGTTCCTTTGTGATGGGTTTGTACTCGTGTTCAAGGCCCCCGCACATGACGGCTGGCCAAGTGTCTGAAGTTTTGAATGTTTTCTTGATGGTGGTTTCTACCAGTTTCTTGGTTCCCTTGGTTTGCTTGGTTGAGGTGATTACACGTCGAGGGCGATGCTCTATGTGTGTTGGGGGCGAATGATATGATAATGACTAGTCCATCATTGGGAGATGGCTGTATGACTATAAAGGGACATGCCTGTCCGTGACCTATCTGTAACTCTGTACCCTTAGCAGTGTCCCCAAGCCTGTGGCTGTGCCTGCCTCCGATATAGTCCCACTCTGAACCTTGCGTAACAGCGCCCATCATGATCACCAAAGCATATTGATTGCAACACCCAAAACCTATGCAATTTGACACTCTATATTAGACCCACCGTAGGCTCCAAGTGAGTGAAAACACACATCAATAGCAACCCAAGAAGCTGAGTCGCATTGTTGCGTGAGTTCTGCAAAATCTACTCTGAATTGCTGACATCACATACCCTACTGGCAAGTCCAAATGACACACAGACAGACAACAAATCCTTATATCCCCAAGAAACTTTAAATTATTTAGCCTCTGCCCTACTGGGTTGGGCAAAGCCGTGTTTGTTTCGAGCGGGCCCTATACAAGTACGACGTGTCGTGCTTGCATGTTAAAAAAATCTAAGGGGGGTAACCCATTGCCGCTTAATTATAGTCATTATATGGAAGTGAATGGCATTGTTGGGGTCACCATTTGGACAATTACATTTATGCGCTTGGGCCCCAAGGTTTCTAAGGGAAGTTCAAAGGATTTCACTCCCCACTTTATTTGGAAGTTTATTCCCCTTTCAATACTGTGGGGGACCTCATTATTCATTTATAGATTTAGTGGTGGTGGCCCCCCTTTGTTCTAGTATGCAGTAGAGGACCTGGGTTGAGTCATGCCTTATACTAATTGTGTGGCCTCCGGGAAGTTTCCATGTTTCGGTGAAGTATGAAAGGGCCAATTGTCTACCCTTTGTAACTTTATTTCTTGCTATTGACTGATTCTCATTCGTGCCCCAGTGAGGCATGCCTCCATGGTATGCCACCCTTATACAGCCACATTTGCGCCCACCATGGGTTGCGTCCCTTGGCCCACCATGCAGACCATACCATCGCGCATCCTAACCAAGCTCCACCCAGCCCCGAGCTATCCCGGGCTAGGAGTGAGGGAGATGGGTGCCGCTACATCTCCCTGCCAGATGCCGCGAGAGGCCTAGGACCGGTGGCACCAAATTTCCAGTGCATTGAGCACCATTGCACTACCTCTCATCATAAACCTATGTGTCCACTTAACCAGAATATCCATACGTCACTCCCCCAACACTTCTCACTTTGTGGCATTTTGCATCGCACCTTATGCCACATCACAAAGCACCATGCGCTTCCCACGCTACCTTTGTGCTATTGGCCCATCCAACGCGTGCTATCCTGCAATTTTATGTAATGCTCGAAATGGGTGCCATGCCACCACCCTCAAGCGCCAGCGGCCACCGTGATGGCCTTGGGCGCCATCCTTAGTAATGCACATGAAATACACTACTCATAATAGCCCCGTCCTGTGCCACCTTGGGCAAATGGCCAGCGCCTTCATTTTGTGAACAAAACACAAAAGTGGCTAACAATATTAGTAACTTTGTGGGAATTCGAGCAGTGTGATATTTCATTCTGCAAAACCTTAACAATGCAGCTATGCGCTTGATTTAATACAAATAATGCCGATTTGGCAGTATACTATTGAAGTATCTTACAGAAGAGCTCCACCTTGGCAACATAAGATATGAGCTCTAAATACCCATAAGAGTTGTGGAATGTTGAAGCCGGTGCTTTGGCGATAAATGATGCAACTGGCGGTTATGATGTGCTGGGACCTCACGGAGCATCATGGCACCAATGCATCAATGTGCCGTCAATTGCATGTGAACCCCAACGATGCATGACGGGTTGGGCAGGTGCTAGAATGATTTGAAACTATTTTTGGCAACAAACCTATAGAAAAATCGCTTTAGTAGCCGGAATTCTGTAGGCATGATGCTTACAGCTATTGCTACTACTTCAATTGACTCAAATACTCAGTAATAGACTGTGGACGTTGGGCAACCTTTGGTCTCATATCTGCCTATCCACTAGGCGTCAACACACGGCTTGAAGCGACCC